TATATATATACCTATATATTATATATATATATATATATATATATATATATATATATATATATATATATATATATATATATATATATATATATATATATATATATATATATATATATGTATAAGTATGTGTATGTGTATGTATGTGTGTGAGTATGAGTATGAGTATGTATGTGTACTGCCAAACACATAGATGCACGTATATGTAGTGGTGGGTTTTTCTGTTCCTGCACCACGTGCCATAAACATGTACTGTGTGTTATTACTGCAAGCACTGCGACCAGCACAGACACATATATGCGTGTATATGTAGACATACATGCGTCTATGTGTACTGCCATACACATAGATGTACGTATGTGTATTGTGTATATGCATGGGTATGGGTATGTATGTGTAGGTATGTGTACTGCCATACACATAGATGCACGTATGTGTCGTGGTGGGTTTCTCTGTTCCTGCACCTCGTGCCATATACATGTACTATGCGTACTTCGAGTAAAATTATTTACCTTAATCTACATACCTTAAGGGGGTCGAATCTCATTATACTTACGTTTATGTCCATGGTCTGTTTGAAAACAGGCAATATAATCCTAAAAACGGTATTTAATAGAATCACCCTAAAACCGTATTATAATAAGTTAATAACACTAAAACCCTAATATAATTACCCTAAAACCGTAATATAGTCACTATATAACAAACCATATTTCTTACCTTGATTGAAAGGTCGTCGTTTCCAGCTGAATCCTCTACCCATATTGGGTTATGGTCGTATTGTCGCTGTTCGCCAAACTCCTTGCAGCTGATCACAGCGCGCTTGTGCATATCTGGGGCTCTAAATTAGCCACATCAAACATATCTACCAATGACATTAAGCATACATCAGGGGATCCCCCCTTGCCTCTGTTACTGAATGGTCTTGTGTTGTTTCCTCTATTAAACTTTACCTGCACGTGTAGGGATCGCTCTGGTGGATCAACACGGGGCATTCTAGCCCATAAGGCATTCCACTCCGCATTGGGATCTTGTCCTTCGTTCTGGTCCGACTCGCCACAGTCACCAATATTAAACTATGGCATCTGCCCGCTGTCCATCCTGCTAGAGTGGGGTGGAGAAAATACCTCTTGCGCTCCAACTCTTCCGGCCGAACCCGAGTATGGGCTCAATATTATAATATCATGCCTCGTCCTTAGCCGCTGTAGTTCAGTTTGTTGTTCCCTACTGTAAGTTAACCTTGCGAACTTCATGCGGTTCGCGTGAGCGATAATGTCCATAGGATCTGGTTTGCAGTAGTAGCACGGGCCAATACTGCCTGCGCCCTCTGCATCACCAGTATCTTGACATAAAGCGTGAACGGCTTTATTGCAAATGCTACAAAAGTGCCAGTTCATATATCTCCCCAACAGGCAGAACGCACAGCCTTCAGTACTCAAGGCGCTTGCCGTCAACGGATCCCCTTATATAGAGCAATGCGTTATAAAATAATAGTAGTGGCAGTGTTGGTCGCAGCACGTGCAGTAGTGCCTGTGCTGGTTGTAGCACGTGTAATAATGTTTGTGTTGGTTGCAGTATGTGCAGTAGTGTTTGTATTGGTTGCAGCGTGTGCAGTTGTATCTGTGTTAGTCGCAGGACGTACAGTAGTGGCTGTGTTGATCGCAGCATGTGCAGTAGTGGCTGTGTTGGTCGCAGCACGTGCAGTAGTGTCTGTATTGGTCGCAGCACGTGCAATAGTGCCTGTGCTGGTTGTAGTACGTGCAGTAGTGTTTGTGTTGGTTGCAGTATGTGCAGTATTGTTTGTATTGGTCGCAGTGTGTGCAGCAGTATTTGTGTTGGTCGCAGCACGTGCGTTAGTGTCTGTATTGGTCGCAGCAATTAAATTTAATTTGATTTCATTGGATTAAATTTAACTAAAAGCCACTAGAAAAGAGTTTGAATCTTCGATATCGTCAGTTGAAAAAAAATATGAAATGTCGGTTTCCAAAAAAATATTTAACACGTCTTGACCAATGGAAATACATGATGTTTTCTGGTTAATTGTCGACCTAGGCCTTAGCACGGGCTGCAACTTTTTCAAAATACCTGGAGGCTACAATACCGTGCAACGAGTGCATAGCGTAGGCCGTAAGGCCGTAGGCGCGTAGGCCCATAGCGGCATAGCCTTTTTTTGTAAAGATAAAAAAAGGAACTCGCTCCAAACGAGTCTAACGACTATGTAGTAAACTAAAAGTTTAGAGCTCTAGAGCAGACTAATTGATGCGTTAACGTGAAACGTACTTCATTTTCATCCGTTATAGGGGTCTTGGTTTGTGCCCGCCCTTATATTTCAATATTTGGCATAATTCGCCAACTATATTTCACCAAAATATTGGTTGAATTGTTTATAGTTGGACAGATTTTGTACTGTCAAAAATTAACAGCTATTAATTGGGCCATATAAGGAAGATCCAAACAAAATTGGGTTTTGGAATTGGCTACCAGTGAACTACCTGAAAACGGGAAAACGGTTTGAAAACGGGAAAACGGTTTGAAAACTGAGCGGTCACGTAAAACGCACTACGTTTTCACCAAAAATGAAGTACGAATTGAAATCTGCCCTAGAGTATGTTTTAGGGGTTTTAGGGTTTAAATACTATTTAGAGAGTATTTCGAACTCTATAGAGTCTAGAGTTCTAGACTCTTCTACTAGAGAGTCATTACTCAGTCGTAGTCGCATATTTGTTTTTAAAAACAAATACAAACAAAACTTTTATAAATACATAAGTACGTATTATGCCTGACCCTGATTGTATACTAATAAATATACGGCGAGGTGGGTATGTTGTGTTGAAACCAATTAATAAACATCTCAGAGGCAGAGCCACCATAGTAGTTTTATGCAACTGGGATGTGGAGAGTAGCTATAATAGTTTTGAACAATTTACGCAGTTGTACTTAGAAAAGCTGTGACTGCGTTGCAAATCTCTGTAGTTCACATCTATCTGCATGTTGAGCTAAGCAGTCCAGAGGATGATTGGTTCTAGACGACGAGATAACAAAGGGTGCGCGACAATTATATTTTGAATTCTTAGCCAAGAAGACTAGTGAAAAATTACAACTGCAAAAAAGCATAGGTATACTCTGCTCGTAGTAGCTGTTGGCCGATAAGCTTACTACGATGTTCTATGTCGCTATCAAATCATGGATACAAACTCACTTGGCTCGTTGCCTCCGTGTGTTGGGCTATATCATCACATTTGTATTGGCTACGAAAGTACATTTCTACTTTTCGAATTTGTTGGGTAGGTCTGATGACTATGTAGAAAGGTGGGATGGGTACGCCATAGCTGCTCAGCCCTATAGACTTAATTTACTGATCTACATTGGATCTGTAGTGTTTCTCACGCTGGTGATGGCCACTTTTATAAGTATCGTGATAGTGAAACACTGGAAAGAACCAGCGTACCGGGCACTAGTGCCGTCCTTTCTGCTTCACCTTGGGATTATTAACTTCGCAATGCCACTGGTCGAGCTATGCTTACAACTTAAGGTAAATTTCGTAAATATATCAAGGCGTGTTAGAGCCTTGTGTATAAATTGGTGCTGTTCGTGCACAATATTCCAAACTAAAGCATCGAAAGAATCCGTCTATATATATATATATATTATTTTTTTATTTATTGTGTGTGTATA